TGAAAATGTTAGGTTTAAGGCTAGACTTGTGGCTAAGGGATTTACTCAAAAGGAGGGAATAGATTATGTAGAAATTTTTTCTCCTGTTGTCAAGTTCACCACAATTAGAATCATGTTGTCTTTAGTTGCTCAGTATAATTGGGAATTAAAACAAATGGATGTGACTACTGCTTTCTTACATGGTGATCTTGATAAAAATATTTATATGTGTTAGTCGGTTTAGTCGTTGTGCCCACGCCTTAGAGGGGGGGTGAATAAGGCGTTTGAAAATCTTTTCGGAGTTTGATAAAAACGGTGTTGGCAAATGCGGAAGCAATATATAAAACGCAGAAATAAAAGCGTAAATAAAATGTACACCGATTTTATACTGGTTCGGGAACTCCCTACTCCAGTACCTCGAGGCTCCTCCTCAAGGATTTCCGAATCCACTAAGTTCCGGCCTCTTGAACTCCGTCAAAGCACCGCACTAGTTTGGCAAACAACCCTTGCCAATAGGATTCACTCCGAGATTTCAACACGGCTATCTCGAACCGTTTACAATGAAGATTTAACGGCTATCTTCTACCGCTCCCCCAAGGATTTCAAAGGCTATCCTTGAACCTCTATCCAAGGATGTATATGGCTACCCTTAACCGTTACAACGTGAGAATTTAACGGCTATTCTCGACCGTAAGAAGGTGTGTTTGAAGAACACAAACAAAGGTTCTACACAACGGCTAGAATATAAAAATGAAGAATAAAACTTAGCCGGTGTAGAAGGAAAGTATACTCTCTCAAAAATACAATTCAAACTTATGAATATGAGAGTATATAACTTAGAAACACAAGCTCAAAGTGTGTGTATAAAAATCAGGAACTTTAAGGCTCTTAAAATAGCCAAAATATAGAAAATAATTAATAAAGGAGTGAACACACTTAGAATATTAAATTAGAATGTTTGGAGCTTTTTTTCTTAAAAAATATGAAGGATTAGGCTTGTATTTATAGTGGAAGATGTTAATTAGCCGTGGGGAGGTGATTAGGGTTGATTTAATTCAAAATTGTCAATCAGGAACAGTGCTGTAACGGATCCGGTACCCTTCACGGTAGGGGGGTCCGTGTCATCCGGTACCTGGGTACCGTGCCACGGTACGGCCTACCGTTTGGGGGTACCATATATGCCAAAACTTTGGTTCGCTACTGGCGGTACCTTCTTAGGACGGGGTGGCCTACCGTCCGTGCCTCCCGTACAGTACCTGGGTACCGTTACACGGTATGGGGGTACCGTGTAGGCGGTATACCCTACCGTTTGGGGTACTGCTAGGGGTACCGTGCCACTGTCTTGATTTTTCCAAAATTCCCTTAATCCTTCTTGTTTGAGTTTAAAACCTTTTAGATATTTAAAAATGTTTATGGGATGGTTTTAAACATATTTTGTGAGTGCGTTTGAGCTTGTGAATATAGGTATATAAAGTCATATTCTTACATTGGTTTCAACCTATATTCTATGCTAGTTTAGTGTTTCGACTTCATTCTTGAGAACCGAATCTTAATGGATTCTTGTTGTACCTGAAACACTTAAGCAAATGTCAAGCTCTTAAATTGTTTGTTAACATCAAAACATGAGACTTAGCAAACCAAGGCTAACAATCTCCCCCTTTTTGATGTTGACAAACAATATACTTCAAAGTGAGTTAGGCGGGAGTATAAAAATGAAGCAAGCAAGCTCCCCCTAAGAATAAGCATATTTAAAATACTCACTTTGAACTTTTTCCTGTGT